TGACTATGGCGCGGGTCTTCCCGGATGGCCGTAGGTATCCGCATCTCGACTGCAAAGCCCGTTTATCGATTTCCCGTAACGTTATCCTCGACGGGCGAACGAATGGAAAATGTAAAACTGCGAACCGATGCATGTGTTAGTTGAATCGGTCCCGTTTCTCTCTGCATGCAGAGTATTGCTCACCCGGTTAAGTCGGATGGAACGTAAGCAAGGCAGAACGAAAATGCAATTTTACTATCATCTGGTTTACTAACGACTCAACCATTACATTATTATAAACACTGTTCAGAAAATTTATTCTCTTCTAAACATTTTACTATTCTATTTTAGAAAATCACTTTATTTTTATCAGCAAAATATTTGCAACGGTTTATTTATTGAATAAACAAAAATATTCTTAACTGATATACATATAATTACGAACGAGTCCATATTTGTTTATTAAAATTTTTAATATTTTCCATTCCATTGAGCAGAAAATCAATTGCGAGAATTTAAGCATTTTTCTGATTTTCGAAAACCGAACATCTTTTTTAATGTTCAATGCATCAATTTAAATAATTAAATACTATCGAAATTAATTGAAGTATTTCATGTATTTCATATTTATTATTGAATAACAATTTAAATGCATTTCGCATCCGTGACTAGCAATATTATCGGTACCTACATTTCCTTTACTGAATATTTGCCTATTGAACGAAGTTGCAAAACGGAGATCCTTTTCGAGTTCGGTAAACTCGTTCTTAGCAAAAATTCAGTGGCTCCTCTCTTCGAATTGCAGCTGCAGCGATATAAGGATTAAAGTATAACCGTAATCGTTTATCTGTACGATCCATTGCAGCTCCTTTCATCGCGTCTTAACGACTAAACCGATCTCCTCCCGTGGCTTCTTACGTATGCTGAAGCCGGGAGTTCTCGGATGCTGGCTGCGTCCGCAAAAATTGATTTTTCATCGTGGTGCGATTTTAAATTTCCCTTACCAAGAAAGGCAGTAACGATAGCGTTATTCGTTGCTGTTATGTAACAGCGTTTTTCATACACCACTATTTGTGCAAAAGACGTGCAATAAAAATGTGTATATCTATTTCTAAAATTAAAATTGCTATCTACATTTTTTAAGTCGATATTACAAATGTTCTATTTTACATAAAACTTCGCAGTCTAGTAATCATGATTGATTTCGAGCATAAGTGTCGAACGAGAAAAACTGAAACAGAGGTAAATGGGAACGAGTTCAAGCAAGGGTGAAATTGATTTGACAGACAAGTCGTTTTGAACGTGCGGTTGCCTCGCGTTTGACAAATTGTCCTCGGTTCCAAACGGCCGTCGCTGTTAAACGGACGATTACGCTTGTAAAACAAAGCCACTATTAACACAGGTAAAATGTGTCGTAACGTCCGCGGTGCTTGATAAATTTTATAGTCGTTTTCATCTCCACGCCGGGGACAAAAGTGCTTGTCAGTGGACGGTTGACAACGTTTTCGACGACACCTTTTTCACAGTTCGAGTTGAGTACAAATACAAACTTTGTATCTCGGCTGATTCTCTTTTTGTAATATTTATTCAGTCATTTTATTGATCGACGAAATGAATAATACATTTTCCGTCCCTCCGGCCGACTGCCTCTTCTGTTTCATAACAATGGAGCTTGCACAACGCAATGGAAACGGGACTGTGTCAATGTTAAGCAACGGCGACGTAATAAATACGTAGGTAGATCGTCGACAATGGTCATTATACCGGGAGAAAATTAGAAACTTTTGTTCCCTAGGGACAAATAGTGTAGCAATTTTCAGGAACCTCGTACACCGAAACCCGGTGTGATAACTACTACCGCGGTCAGAAACAGGTAAAGCATTCAACTAATTTACGAATCAGAAATAAATTTACATAACAGTTCACTTTGCCAATCTAGAGGGGAAGAGGAGGATCGTAAATACCTGTTCAATTATTTAAATTGAAACCCGAGGGCGAGTCAGGTTTCTCTCCTTTTGTATTAAATTTCATTACCCGACGCTTGCAATTTTCTAAGTGAAAAGTTCCACGTTTATCGGATTAAGTAAGTATCCTTTATAAAGGGTATCCGAGAATGGGACGAGTTTAGACTGTAAATAATCGAACGATTTTTATTTGCGATCGGGTACGTCGCGTTCAATTAACATGCGTGCTGCGTGGCAATCAATTTTTACGTCGAATGCTGTGACGGGGGGAGGGCGGACGGTGAGTTGGAAATAATTACTGGGGACACCGTGTTGACGCGACGAAATTGTGCTAACCCCTATGTCGAGTTTTAATGGACCAGTGACACATTTCAAAAGCGACGCGATGCTCGGCATCCGGCGAGAATTTTGGTGAAACGTGATACCCGTCGACGGCAAAATTCTATGTAGTTTAGCTACCTCTAATATGCCGAATATTCCGACTATTTTCGTCAGTTTCGAATCATGGAATGCTGCTCTGCGGCTGTGGAGAATAAAAAAAGCATTGCCTGTCGAGGGTTTAGAATTTCCACATTTTTGGACAATGGATTTTGATACATAGTTTAAAGAACGAGCGCGGAGATAGGAGGGCGTAACGTGAAATAACGAGGATTCAAGTGGTCCGGTCCTGTAGTATTCCTCGCGACCGGGGGAGGTCTTGAAAAACACCGAGGCAGAAGAGAGCGCCTTGATGACCATACAAAAGAGGCTTGCCGAGAACACATAGGTAGCTCAACAGGTAGCACTGAAAGTACTCTTCTCCCGTCACTAAACCCCGCACCACTCCTTCGCCTCCTTTTATGCCCGACGAGTCACCTCCGTGTCGCGTTTGTGGCTACGCACGCACGTCCTCCCACGGAACTGACACCTTTTTCTGCTCTCCGAGAGCACTTGGAGAATTTCTATAGACCAGCGTGTAGATTCTCTTTTTAAAAATATTTATACAGGGTGTCCCAGTACTGATGGTACAACCGTGGAGTGATTATGTATTCATTGATTACATGAGAATATTAGTCAAAAGACTATTTCCTCTTGTTTTCGAAGATGACGTATGGCATTGACTCGAAATTTTCACTTTCCAGCTTTGAACTCCTCTAAAAGGGTTAAATTTGCAAAATTGCAATTTGCAAATTTTAAAGGGTTAAATTAAACAATAATGAATCGTCCTTATGCAAAATTTCGCGTTCTGCAATTTTTATTTGAAACTTTTTTCGATATCTACAGCGGTTTTCGATTTATAAGCAAAAAATACAAGTTTTTTACACTCCAAACTTTTTGGTTTTGCACATTTGTTTGTAGGGATCACACATAGCATATATCAAATATTCAATCATTCGGCTAAAAGTATCGATTTCAGACCTATTTTTCTTGGACTATCATTTAGAATTCCAAAATGTAACCATGCAACGAAAAACTGGGACACACTGTATATACTAGTTAAATTTTAAAGGCTCATTAGCAATCCAGATAATTAACATCCTCGTAAAATAACGTTCAAAAGTACAAATTATTCTCTCAATTTATGTCGATTAAATACTGTTTAAGTACGTAGATAAAAAGAGACAAATGTATTCTGCTTTTAAATTTAGTATTCATTCCATTTATATTCAGTCATTTAAAATACAATTTAATTGTAGCCATTCATTATTTGTATTGTAATTGCAATCGTATAATAAATCTAATGATTTAGTCTTTTAACAATTGAGATAAACCGACAATATTTCAAATTAATAATAATAAAAAGCTATTTGCCAGGTTATTTGATAGAGAATAAGTACCTAGAAACATGGAAAGATGTATGAAGAGGAGCATACGCTGGCGGAGTGAGAGGCTGAATAACATATTCGCGTTAGCAATGAATAAAATAGGGAATTTCGACGAACAGTGGCCGAGGAACCGTAAAACGTCGAGAAGAGAGAAGGCCGACAGGCTTTTTATCGGCTCGCAGTGCAGCGCTCGGCCAAATCGGGCGTTCTGCCCGAGTTGATTCCGAAGCAACGGTCGATCGATTCCCGTTTAATTCGCTGCGCGCGTTCGATCGGTCCCTGGACCGTGCAAGAAGCCGGAGCTGGTGGAATTTAATTCGTGCCGCTAACGAGCTAATTACGGTGATCGAGCTGCAGGTGAAAGACACGTCCCAGAATAATGGCTCGGAGCCGCCACTAAAATCAAGAGCATCTAATCCACTGCGCGTATAGAGGAAACGAGAGTCTGAGGGAGTTTCATCGATAATTCACGAGCGAATCCTGTATGGCATCGAGGAGTTGCCCGCCGAATATAACGGTCTTTTAGGTGGATTGGAATCGACGAGTAAATTAAACGGAGCAGGTGGTAAGGATTTTCACGGGCAGAAACTTTTTTCATTACAGCTGCGAGCATTTAGGAAGTATCTGTGTACGTACACATTTGCTTGAGCGCAGCCCGAGGGATTCTAATCCCCTTGATCCTGGGTATTTTTCCTTTCGCTACGGCGGTACTTCCTCGCGTGCAACAGGGTCGCAGACTCTTTCCTTTCCAATTTTGTTAATCAAATTACTTGCCTCTTGAGTCATGCAAGAGATTCAACTTGAAGTTTGTGTTAACGTGATTCTCTTAAAATTCTGAAGTCAAGTGAACGTGAACAATCTCCAAAATGTTATTATAACATACATTATTGAATTAAATTATGATTTCTTAAACAAATTAAAGTCCTAAAGTCTGGACATATGAAACAATTCATATTCTTCACTTTATTAACATTTTATTCAACTTATATCTAGTTCCTTGTTTTAATCTGCAGAGTTCAAGCATATTAATTTCAATTGTGTATAACTTCCATATACGTCAGTATTTAAGCTTGTTATTTTAAAAATTTGTCCCATATATTAATTACGATGTGAAGAACATAAAATTTGATTACAATCTGCAGTGTCTTGCATTTTAATAGAACCATCGTATAGAATATTAAAAAAAATCTCAAATTGGTACTTGAAATTTAAATAGATATTTAATAAATAAAATAGCAGACGTATAGAATAGTAGAGGTGAATCACTGATAAAAAAATATACATAGATGAGAATATTTTAATAGACTAGCAAAAGAGGATTATTAATTGGACGGCAAAGGCATGGGACATTTACGAAAATCCTCATTGACATTACATTGCCTTGGAGACGGTGGCAAAGACGAGGTTCTCGTCAACCGATTGGTCGTAATTCCACTCTGCCTGTCGTCGCCGGATCTCGAGGTTCTAAACCCGTCCCCGGAGTTTCCCAGATAGTCTCGCCCCTCGGTAGTTAACAGCATGTCTCTGAGCATATCCAAAAGTTCCACCTCGTCCTTCTTCCCCAGCTCTTCGATAACGCGAATAGCGTTAATCATATCCTGTCTCTGTTCGCTATCGTTGCAATTAACCATCTTCAAAGCCTCGGTTATTCTACGATTCCCTTCCTTATCGTCGACTGTCATTCTCAGTTCAGTGATCATCTCGTTCTCGTCAATAACAGTCGCACGTTTCTTCTCTTCTAAAGTAGATTCCTTTTGAATGACATAAGTCGCCGTCGTGTTATCGCTCCTCAAAGATGCTTTACTGCTGCTTTCACCCTTCAGCCCCTCGTGCTGAATATCGTTCTCGGTCCTGTTCGTCGACTCCCCCAAATCTTTAACGTTTTCACTTTTCTCGTCGAACGATATCGACAGAGAAGAAGAAGAAGAAGAAGAGGAGGAAGAGGAGGAGAACGAGGAAGGAGAAACAACTTTTTTCTTGCTCTCAGTCGTGTCTTCGACTCTGAACGTAGAGCTGCCTGCAGGGACGTCTTGCTCCTCTTCCCGTTCTCCGAGATCCGAGCGTACCGTGCTTTCACGGTAAGTCTGTGCGATCTTCTCTGAATGCGTCGTTAACTCCTCCTCCTCGTCGTCCTCGTTGCTGGATTCCTCCAGACACTCGGTGATCACCCTCCTCTGCGAAAACACCGTTGTTATCACGGTCTCCTCGCTGCTGATGAACAGACTCGAATTCTCCTCGGTCCGTTGCTCGTGACTGATCCCGGCACTGGTCACTCCCCAAGTAGTCCCGTACTCGTATGGAATCTTGCGGAGAGCGCGGGTCACTTGCTCGATAAGATCCTGGATGTAGGATAACATCGGCGTGTCACCCTCTTCCTCGGTAATCTTAGCGGCCATCTGCAGCTCCTCCAAAGCCTCGACGAATCTCCCGAGTTTTACCAAGGTCTGACCTTGAAAAAGAGTCGAGCGATTTAGGGGGCATTGAAGTGATAATGGAATGAATAAAATGATGAGGTGTTAATCGATAAACGTTTCGCTCTTGCCGTTGTCGTATGACACTCATCTTACTCTTATACTAAGTGTGGCCGGACGAGTGGTACAGTCGAGCAAGGGATGATACTATGAACAAAAAGAACTTGAGAAAACGTTTTCAAAAAGTGAATATTATGACCTGAACTGTAATGGGAAAAAAGATACGAAGGATGCTAATTTATAAATCTATAAAATCTGTAATCCAGTGATAAGGACTGTGACGATTGCAACTAATCTCAATAGTGAAACACTGTTAGGATTATCATAAACTTGCGCTCCTTATCTCCTCGGTCGAACTTCGGCGTTAATTGCGATCCGAGTGAAACGGACTGTATCAGCGTTTCCATAGACCGTCGGCCGGAGTGTTGGGGGAGCCTTTACCGCGTCTCTATCGGCGTTCCGGGCTTTCGAGTGTAAATCGCGTTCGCATCGAAATTGATTTCAGTGTCTGACTGTAGCCGTGCTCGGCTCTATCAGAAGTCCGGTGCCACTAACTAGGCTGTAGTATCGACGCTCGACGGACAAATTGTAACACGATGGGCTTATGGATCGATACTACCGAATCACGATTTGCCGGACCGCTAACAAAGCCAACTTGGCAGTTATTGGATTGGCCAAAGAGCGTTTTCCCAAATGTAGGAATCACGAGGGAATGTGCAGCTAATGATATTAATATTTTATTTGGAATTGGAGTTACCAAACTGAAATAGCAATGTCTACATTAAATTACACTCAAATTAAAATTAAATATTAAAATTATTAAAAAAAAATATAAGTACAGTAGATTAGTATATAAAATCTGTCGGTAGATTTAAAAATATGATCAATTAAGCTAAATATTCTATCTAAAGAATTATAATTGTTTATTTACCTAACAGTAATCTTCCGTTCAGTGTCCACTTCTTGGAATTGCCCCTTGCAGCCGCTTCCACACATCTGGCGCCATTTTCCAAAGCTCTTTGATACTTTCCAGTCTCTAAATAGCATCTTCCAATCTCGTGTCGGATCCAGGCCATCGGAATTGGTTTCTTCAGATCCTTAGACAGATGTTCCCACGCCTTGGCGGCGGCCTCCAGGTGGCCGAAGTTCAGATGCACCTTTCCCAAAGTGACCAGAGCTCTGCAGATCAGAACCAGATCCTCGGTGCTCTTCGACAATCGTACTAAACGTGACACGTTGCAGACGGCTCGATCGTGCCTCCCGAGGGCCACGTGGATCAACGATAGGTAATGATACGCCGCTATCTGATAGCGAGTTGGATCTCTGAAACCACCGGACAGCATTAAAAGCTCCTGGGCTATCTTCAACGCGGCTGAAATTTTTCCTGAGTTGAAAGTAGACTGGAGGTTCTTCAGTGAAGTCTCGGCTAGGTTGTTCAATTGCTTCAACATCAACTTAGATTTCGTCAGTTGGGTGTTGGAGATCCGTGGCGTAGGAAGGGTTTTCCAATACGTTTTGTGGTTATCGAAGTAGCTGTAAGATCATTTAATAATTCTGTTTTTATTATTGAAGACTATCAAATATATTGTACATATTACAAAGGGAAATCAATAAATCTTGACATTTATATAATTTAAATAATTCAGATAAATCTGATAATTAAATTAAAATTGAATTGGAACAAACATAAATTTTCTCCATAAATCTAATCAATCTAATTACTTCATTAGATATGTAAGTGGCCCGCTTTTGGCATTAATTAGTTACGCATATTGGAACTAAGTCTCGGAGACTTTATGTCAGTCCCTATCGATTCGAATCGTAGCTCACGTTCCTAGCATTACTTTGACATTTCGGATGCTTTAATCATGCTCCGAAGACACATCGATATCGTTCCCGGTTGGTAGATCACGGTCACGTACAATAGACAGACTGTAATTTACTTAGACAATGGTCTTATAAGATCGCGTGACTGGATATTATATCATCCATTATAATAATTTACGATTCTACAAACTGAATAGATTACAGTGTCGTTAATAATAAATTAGATGGATCAACGAGCCATTAATCTCCTACGAGTTTCATAATTTTATGTTTCACTTAAGAATAAATTAAAAGAAAATCAGTAATGTAAAATAAATGGATATAATAGAAGAGAATGAAGACATTAAAATTTCGTGACTCAATTGGAAATAACTGAAGACAAAAAACGATATAAAATATGCGATGATCGATAGATAAAATCTTTTATCATATTTAATAAAAACTGTTTGTTTATATGTTAGTAAAAGTCTCTTAAAAATGACATTTGCATCGAGATTTGGACATCAGTCATAGTCATAGGATATTATTTGATCTCTGGAATGCTTCAGCTTAATAAAATTTCATAAAAAGTCTCTGGGAAGGAACACTTTCTATAGTTCCACAGGAAGTGGCAAAAATCCGGACTTTTCAATCAAGTTGTGACTTGCACTACGAATGCTAATACGTTTAAAGAAAACGTGAAATGCATCCTAATTCATCTACTTCACAAACTAAATAGCAGCATAATGCAGGCATATTAACAAGTGTACCATTTCCGGTGCTTTTCAATTCCGAAAAACTGAATTACACGACTGTGACGTTTACCTCTTCACACAGTGACTTAAACAGCATCAGGAGGAAAGGGGGTGGTGGATTCTAATAAAAATGGTGCTTAACTGCGAGCGACGTTTTACTTCAACCGGAAGCTTTTACCGTGATCGTAAAGACTAAAATTGGCGAGGCTCACCTAAGTACCTCGGTGATGGACGAAGGTTCCGGGGATTTCTTCAGCTTCTCGTTCGCCATGATGGCCGCGGTTTCCGGGCAGAGGGCGAGGGTTAATCGCTCCCCTGTCCCGGTGGTGGGCAAAGCCTTTCGCAGAGCTTTCGACGGATTATGGCAAGAGCTTATCGTAGCCGCGGTCTTCCTAGCCGCCACGCTGTGACTGCTGTCCCTCGGATACAGGTTCGCAGCTCTGTGGTAGAGGACTAACGCCAACTCGTAATCACTGCTGCAAATTGCGAATTCGACGCTGTCGGTACATTTGTACATACACGCTTAGTCGCCGCGAAATGGACCGTGTTCCGCGATTAATTATATCAGAAGAGCTGCTGCGCATACACCGGACGCCCCAGGCGCTTAAGCAACTCCGACGTCGGGCTCTTGCAACGTCGGGCTTTTGCACGGTGGACCGACGCGACACAAAAGGGAGCTAATCAACGCCTAGACGTATCGACGTAAAATGACATTGGTTATGGAAATGGTAACGGAGGGACGTAAAACGCTTCGACATTCGACAGCTACTGTTGTCGGCATTTAATTATCACGGAAATGGAACTATTCGGAGTTTGAAATGTGGTCGGGGGCGATATTTAGAAATTAGAATAACGCCAGAAAAAACAATACTATTTTCATATTTATTAGGGAAACGTTTTTGTCACGACGTATATAATTAATATTCAATTAAAAATTCATTTATTTTTCTATGCAAATTATTGTCCACGCGTATGCTTAAATAATAAAATTAATTCTTGACTAACCACAGTTTTTGGCATCACAAATATTTTACTTTATATGCAAATCCGCAATTTTATTTCAATTCTACATTTAATCGAGCGTATTCATTCGAATGTAATGAATTATTAAATTTAATGCGTACACAGCATGGTCGAGGAGATAAAATCTGTGACCGTACTAGAATTGGAGCGGAATCGCACGGTGTGAAATTTACAATCGTCTAAAACGGCGATCAATCGGGAATAATTAAACCGAATAGAAGTGTCTGGTAACAACTACGGGGAGCGATAAAATATTTTATGCAATGGTAAACCGGGCGGAGTGGATCAAACACTGAATGTAAAAGCAGACGTTGATCCGTTGAGTAATTGGCGCGTTAATTTGCCGATCATCGTGCAAATTGACGTTTTCATCGCCCGTTAATTACACGAAATATCGCGCATCGGAACGACTTTAAATGAATTTCCCCCGGTCGACGTGCATCCGACGCCGATGGGGAACAACTTCATTGTATCGTAACAAGTAAAATCAGGTTAAATTAAACGCATTAAGAAAATATTTCGCGTCACGCTCCGATAGCGACGTTCGCCCGTGTATAATTATTATTCTTTTCCAATGAAAATAGTTGAATTCGACGCAGCTACGAATTGTCTATGCAAAGGCGATTAAAACGTGGCGAGTATTAAATCGAGCACAATAAGTGATCAAAGGAGCGAATTAATTTTATTGATTAAATGATTAAATTTATTTCGAAACACGTTATAAAGCAGCTCGAACCTTCGATTAAATTGTCGGCGAAGCAGAGCCAATAATTTGCGGGAAAGCTGTTCTTTCTCCTTAGAGAATAATAATATTTAACGAACTACTGTGATCGTACCTGCGATACAGCTGATCCGCTTCGCGATGGAGTGCCTGGGCGTACTCTCGATTATGTTTCGCTCCGGCGAACTCGGTCTTCTTTTGATCGAAACGCGCGCGATACTCCGCATTTTCTATCGCCTTCCTCGTCTCGTTCAGATCCGCCAAATCGTTTTTCAGATTTCTGCTCGCGACGACCGCCATCGGGATCGCAATTAATGACACGTTCGCGCCCGGGGTTGAAGTTCGCTTCCAATCGGGGTGAAACGCGAAACTTTTAACTGAAGTCAGCCGCGCCGGTGACTTCACTTCGTTTAAATATTAACGAAGAAAAAGCGAGATAAAAAAGAAGTTAGGGAAAGATTAAAGGCGGTTTGAAATTATAGACGAGATCTTTTTTTAATAAAACGACAGGTCAGAGACGAGATTCCATGCGAAGCGGAAGGCGTTTAAATTATTTGATAATTAAAAAAAAAATGACAGATTTACTAAAAGAGTAAAGGGCACGGATGTTTTTTCTTAAATTACAAATCGACCATACTTTCTCTGAGAAGAAAGACTGTATTTACAAGATACACATCGATAAAGTGGACAGAAAACTTTTACAGTTGAATAAATTTAATTTTCACGACGGAAGTTCTCCGTTTAACGGACGGCGAGAAACTTATCCTATTAGCTGGGACAATTTTCCGCGGAGCTGCGAAGAAAATCCAGCCCAGCGTCGATTCCATCTTCTTCAACGAGGAGACCTGACGGCGATGATAAACCGTTTATACTCTCTTGGTGAATACCGTGTCTTGCTCATTCCATTTTCAAGGAGCCATTCTTAGAAAATCTACGCTGCAACGGCCATTATACCCGTAAGAGCCGGGAAAAATTGACTCGAGCCCTAAAACGGGACTCGTTTGAAAAGTTTGATCGAACAAAACTCGGAGAGAAACTTCTGATTCCCATTAGCGAGCAGGATTCTCGTTTATCATTCATCCAACAATTTCTTAAACTTCTTCAAACGCGAGTACTTATGTTAACAAGTCCCAGTTTGTCTTCAACTTGCCGATACATAAATTAGATATAAAGAGCAAACGTCTACCTTCAGAAATCTTCAGCTACATCTTTCAAGGCCCATTATGCCAAGTTCTGATCTCAATCGTCTCGCGTACAATTTCCTTTTCTCTCGAAACTGACTTTTACACCAAACTATGATTAAGAGTTCCATCAGATGGCCCTGCATGATATCAGCTGTTATAATGATAAGCTATTCGGTACGAATTGTTGTAAGTATTTCTATCCCAAAGCATCGACTAACAGTGGCTAAACACTTGAGGCTATTCATGTGGTAGTTAGAAACCTGTTATATTTCCAACAACAACGTATTTTCCAAGTATTACTATAAACTAATTATAGTGCAAATTGGTGTAATTAGTAACCAAACGTTTTCATCCAAATTCCTTTCTTTGACATAAGCGTACATGCATGTACAAATTGTACCCGAGGCTATTCAAGTGAAGTACGATATAGGGGAAGGTACAGCAAGATGAGATAATATTGTTTCGCGGAAACTAATTACTACTGTGTACATATAATCAGGATACAGAGGTCAGTATGACTGAATATTATCATAGCTTGGAAATATCAGTCCTATAAGCTGCACGTATTACAAACTTCCTGAATTTTAAGTTTCGAATATTTTTATTAGGACGTATGAGATTTGTAATAACATATATATATATTAATTTAATTTTTTATCCTAAAAGAAGAAGCTTATCTCTCTTTTTAAATCCCGTCTTGCCTTCCCTTCCCCTACGAAAACCAAACATTTACCTTCATAGATGCTCAGCTCCATTCTTCAGGATCCATTATACCTTGCCTAATCTCAATTGTCCCATGCATCATTTCCTCTGCCTCCATCAACAACTCACTTTCACACTGGACATTAATAAACGATTAGGACTGCACACAAGGATCACTCGTAATCATGAAAGTCGACGAAGCCGGGTCTTTCTATCGACGGTTCGTACTGCTGGAGGAGAGCTTTCCTGGCCTCGACCTCAGGATGTTTGGCTCCACTGGGCATTATGGATTTCCTCATGCATGGTAGTTTGAACTTGCGGTCGACCGGCTTGCATCCGGGCATCACGGACAACCTCCGCTTAGCCGGTACCGCTTCCATCCGCCTCCAGAGGAAATCCACCTCGGCTTTCATATCGTCGGGCATTAAATTCAGTATCAACTGTTGCCTGGCCGCGACGACGTCCACGTCGATCAGCTTCTCCATGTCCATGTCATCGATGATCTGTATCGTGGTCTTGTAAAAGTTCACCAGAAAGTCGATGCCCAATTTCTTCGAACAGGACAAGGCCATCAGAGCTGCTTCCTTCGCCTCGTTGCGGTAGTTCTGGCTGACTTCTAATCGGAGGAAGAGATGCTGCGCGTTTAGAATCCACGGCTCGTTGCCTGCCGTCTCGGCCATGTCGCGCGCTTTTTTTCCGAAGAATCTGGCCAAATCGTAGCGGCGGATGTCGATCAGATGACGGCAGAGCTCGTGGAACAGCCAGGCGAGCTCTAAAGGCTCCGATGCCATGGCTAGCCTCCTGTTAAATTATTTTTTTAATTTAAAATTAATTCAATTTAAAATGATCTCTTTAATCATTAATTCCATTATAAAGCTTGAAAGAAGTACGTTTGATTTATGTTAAGATACAAATATACGTTCATTTATTG